ACTTAAAAATGGTGTTACAAGGAAGACCTAGGGATTGATTTCACACCTTGTCATGGATCGTAGCCTAAGATATTCGCCTCCAAAGTTCATCAAAAAACTGATTTCTCGCCGGAGTTGAAATAGAGAATTTCTTATTGGGCAGCCGATTCTAGGGGGTTTGCAAGGCTCGATTTCTTCATGAAACCTTTTCCTTATTCTCCCCTCAAGCTAAAGGAATTGGTTTGGAGGAACGACTTTGTGTGTGGGACCTTAATTTTGAGAAATCATTCTCGGTCTGCAAGTTACCTAACACCTCCAATTTTCGATCTCTTTGGTAGCTTGTTCTATGGCATTTCAGCTTTCGATTCATTCATCAAAGTTACTAAACTTATTCATCTGAAGCTAAAGGAATCCTTAATTTGAAGGAAAAGGGACCGTAAATAGGAATTTGAAACCTAAGCCCCATTTGAGCCCGAAACTAATTTTCTTCAATTAGGCACGTTCCTGAGGTTACTTCTCTTCGTGGTCTTCTCTGGAAACATACCTTGGAGGTGCAGAAACTTATTGGGATCGTCCTTAACGAATTCTCTTGTATCCTCAAGTTGGAATTTTGAGTTTTTCTTGAAGCTCTTCAATGGCAGATTGAATTTGAGGAATGGTTTCAGAGCACTTTCAACACTCTTTTCATTCATAGAACTTGTGAGTAATCTTGTTTAGAAGCTGTAGGAATAAGTTTGAAGGGAAATGGTGGAGAACTACTCTCGAATTTGGAAAAAATCCAAGAGTAGGAGACCCAAAATCTAAACGTCTATAACTTACGATTGGGACCTCGACCTTGCTCGTTTCTTGTTCCAAACTATTGCCCCAACTTCAGACTTTATAGGAGAAGCTTAAACCGACATTGAGAGCTCCATAATCGCCGTGATTTGAATATTGAACTTTCTGGATAATCTGTCGAAAATATTTACTCCCATCAGAGCCTTACTGACCTTGGTTTTGAATCCTAGTAGTTGGATGTGATGATCTATGAGTGTTCTAAATTATATCCAATTTTGGAGGAGATCCAATGACTGAGAGTCGAGATTAGAAGGATTTTGTGAAGATGGTCACCGTTGATCATCTTATTCATGCTAGAATGGCAGTTTCGTAATTATCCATATCTTCAGGGGCAATTTTGTAATTTGCCACTTTCTAAATATTTTATTATTATTTTTCTTGAAAAATCCATAATTTTTCTAAAAATTCTTCATCATTTTTGGTCATTTTTTTGTTGAGAATCTTGAAATTCCCTCTAAATAATGAATTAAAAATCGAGAAAGGTTCTTGATAATTGAAAAAATGACTTTTTTTTTTTTTTTTTTTTTTTTTTTTTTTTTTTTTTTTTTTTTTTTTTTTTTTTTTTTTTTTTTTTTTTTTTTTTTTT